GTAATCCTTTCTTTGTCTAAATATGTTTGCAAAGATTTGGTATCTGCTAATTTAAAAATGTAAGGAGCAATTTTTTCCCCTTGTTCTTTCTTCAAAATACTTCTGATAGTACTATAATTCTTGGGTTACATAGTAGATCTGATGTAAATGAGTTTCATATTAACTATTTTATAAAGGACAGTTCTATATATCACTTAACAAATGGGGCATTATAAACTAATTGTGATGATAATAACTAAAATTTGATCCCTGAAATTTTTGGTAATACCAATGTTCACTTTGTCTGGTTTTGTTGCAGCATGCCCCAATTTAGTTTGTTCATTAACAAATAAAAATGAAAATCTATTGGTTCCATTAATTCCAGTGATCCATTGCTGTTTCCAGTGGTTCCAGTTTTTCCAGCAGTTCCAGTGGTGTTCCAGAAAAAAGCCACTGGAACACTGGAATTGGAACTGGAAATTTTGTTCCAGTGTTCCAGTTCCAATACCGCAGCATACTTATTCCCTTCATATACAAATCATGGGATATTTTGGTATAACCCCTAAAAATCTTTGTTTTTCGGGGTCCTCCTGCAAATCTGAAATTGCGTAAGAAAATTTTCTGATTTTTAGATTTTTATAAATTTTTATAATAAAATGTCTGCTTCTTCCATTATTATTACTACTACTGCTGACACCGCTAAAAATGAATTGAAACAAGCCGAAGAGCTTTCAAAATTCTCACCAGAAAAAGCAGAAGAAATTTATAAAAATATTTTAAGTCGAACTACTAGTGGTAAGTTTTTTCTTAATAAAGGTTTTTTTCCATGTAAAATAATAAATAATAAAAATCACGTTATATAATTCAAATATCTTATCCAGTATGATGTTATATATATAGATGATAATGACAATTTGGTAAGGGACCAAGAACAAGCTCTTGTTAAACTTGGTGAACTTTATCGTGATCATCGGTAATAACATTACAGTAGAATGAATTATTATCAATTGTATATATACATACGTATAGTACTATATATTTATTTTTATTTTATTAAAAATTTTAAATTGATGTTTTTACCTTTTTTTTAGAAAACCAAGTGAATTATCAACTTTGATTCGTTCATCTCGTGCATTTATGTCGTCTATTGCAAGAGCAAAAACTGCAAAAATTGGTAATTCATTTTTTGTTAATTTATTTCCTCTTAGAGAGAAAATTTCCACTAATAATTAATTATTTTATTTATGTCATTATTTGACGTAGTTAAATCATTGATTGATCTATTTACTGAGATTCCGGACACTTTACCACTCCAAATTGAAATTTGCAAAGAAACGATTGAATGGAGTGTTAAAGAGAAACGGATTTTTTTAAAACAGTCTTTAGAAACTCGTTTGGTTTCTTTGTATGTATCAAAATTATTGTCACTGTTAGTTATTAAGTTTAAGTTTAAAATACATTTTCTAATTAAATTTATTAAAAAAATTTTTTAAAGGTATCTTGATAATAAAATGTATCATGATGCATTAAATCTTATCAATCCATTTTTAAAAGAATTAAAGCGTCTTGATGATAAAATGGTATTGATTGAAGTACAATTATTAGAGAGTAGAGTATGTCATGCATTAAGAAATATAGCTAAATCCAGGGTAAATGTTAAAAAAAAGATACTTTGTTTATTAAATTTTTTGTTATTGTTATATTAATATGATTGATTAATAATTAAAAAAGGCTGCGTTAACATCTGCTAGAACATCTGCAAATGCAATATATTGTCCACCACTTCTTCAAGCTGCCCTTGATATGCAATCAGGAATTTTACATGCAGAGGATAAGGATTACAAAACAGCGTAAATAATAGTTTGAATTTATTTATTCTTGCATAGATATATATGTTTATTTTTATAATTTTTATTAGGTATTCATATTTCTATGAAACTCTTGAAGGATATTCATCACAAGATGACCCAAAAGCTATTTCGGCTTTAAAATATATGTTACTATGTAAAATTATGTTGAATTTGGTAATTAATAATAATAATTTTATTATTGTTATCACATATAAAAAAGAAGATATTGATAATAATTAATTATCTATCCATGATATAGTCTGAAGATGTTCATGCAATTATTAATGGAAAATTAGCTTTAAGATATGCTGGTCGTGAAGTTGATTCAATGAAGGCAATAGCAACAGCTCATCAAAATCGTTCACTTATTGAGTTTGAGACTGCATTGACAACTTACAGAGATGGTTTTAAAAATTATTATTCTAATATTATATTGGTTATTTATTGTTATTATTATTATTATTCTATTAACCAAATTTCTTATATTATTTTAGAATTGGGTAATGATCCAATAATTAGATCGCATCTTGCAGCACTTTATGACACTTTACTTGAACAAAATTTAGTTCGTATAATAGAACCATTCTCAAGAGTTGAGATTTCACATGTAGCCAAGATGGTTAAATTACCAACTGATCAAGTAGAAATTAAATTATCACAAATGATATTGGATAAAGTTTTTCATGGTATTTTAGATCAAGGTGCAGGATGTTTGATTGTTTTTGACGAACCACCTCAAGATGTATGTTAATTTATTATTTATTTATTTATTTATATATTAAAATTTTAATTCTAATGATTTGATTTTCTATGTATATTAATTAAAAAAATATAAAGAAAACTTATGAAGCAGCATTAGAAACATTAAAACAAATGGGAAATGTTGTAGAATCTTTATATGAAAAGGTAATAATAATAATAATAATAATAATAATAATAATAATAATAATAATAATAATAATAATAATAATAATAATAATAA